TATTAGTATCGGTATCGGGGCATCCCTACAATTTACAAATGTGTTTATACTCTTAAAAAAACAAACAAAAACAAACATTTGTCAACTAAATTGGTTAAAATTCAAATGTAATCGATTACAAAAAAAGAAGGAAGCATTTCCTTCTTTACTGAAATAATCGGAATAATATTTCTTATTTCGTAAGACATCGTGTCGACTGAAGGTTTCTACTGGGAGAGTGCAAATGATTAAAATACACGTATCGGTCACTTCATTAGGTACACCTGTTTAGCTCCTCTGCAGTGTAAACAAACAGCCGATTACATGTCATTGACTCGGTGCATTTAGGCATGTAGACATGGCCAAGGCGACAGAAAGGTGACTGCTGGGATTGCCCAAAACAACCATCTCCAGTGTTTACAGGGAATGGTCTAAAAAGAGAGAGAGTGGCAGTTCTCTGGGAGAAGAGGTTTTGTTGTGGTCAGAGGAGAATAGTCAGACTGCTGCAGGAAGGCGACAATAAGTCACATATCCTCTCATAACAACCAAACTGTGCAAAAGTCTCTGAACCTTGAAGCAGATGGGCTTGTTACAGTTTTAGCAGGGCCTGAATGGGTACCCTGTACGTCCTGCCTTGTGGGTCACCTTTTCTGGGACAGCTGGCTGTACTCAGCAAATACCCAGAGAGTACTTCAGGCCAGCGAAAGAAGAGCTGAGTGCCAGCTGTGCTGTGTGTGTCGGCTTCTTTCTGCTGGTCTGTGGAGAGGAGAGCGTGTGTTTTGGTGATTTAACATTTTTAACCTGCTTTTCTGTTTCATGACCAACTCGTTGATTTTCTTATTTTTCCTCTCTTTTATAGGAGACAGCGGTTTGTCCATCACTTTCAGTTTATTAGTAATCAAAATCTTCACTACTACTACTTTGCCTTCATGTCTCCCTTTTTCAACCCCGACACTATTTGTTACTTTCCCCACACCCGCTTGACCTTTTAGGGGAACATAAAAGGGTCACGGTAGCAGACGACCAGACAGAGTGTTGCTAAGAACATGCCTGCAGGGAAACGCAAGACTGTAAGATTCATAAATTCAAAGAAAAAAATAAGATCAAACAGAAAGAGGCTGACTCGTGTGACTGAATGGGCACAGAAAGGAAATATTTAGTCATCATAAGTCTCCAAATGTTGAAGCGAACAGCAGGCGAGGTCCTTATTTGTCATTCACAGCTCAGAAGTGACAACCACACGGAAAGTGTTGTTGAAAATCAATCCAAGCTGCGTGTTGTTGAAACGACCGTTGGTGGGACCTTTTAGCTGTCACAGCTTCACTGAGGTGTTTAACAGCTCAGACGTGGTTTTAATATTCATGTTAGAGATTTAGTTACAATAAAATGTATTTCTAACAGTATTTTTAACGGTTTCTGGGCTGAAGCATCCTTTCAACACGCTGCAGGGTTTCTCTTCTTTTTTGAAAGTCCCCAAAATACTGTTAAGCTGTCATTTTACCTCTCTGTGCATCTTTATCAACACTGTGTTTGTTCTTTTAATGCTTCAGTAATAAATCCCTGTCGGGGCAGCTGAGATTTCAGTGGAGATGAAACTCGAGATGCTGGTTTTTGGTAATCCAGACTACGCAGCAACGTATGAATGACTAACGTCATCTGAGACGTTAAAATTACAAGAAATGTTTCAGTTCACAAAGAAGAAACTCTGAGTGTAATCGTAACGATGGTTTTATACCTCTGAGGAGCCAGGAAAAGTGGTACCTGTGGAGGAAGTGACAGCTAACAAAACAAAACACATTTCTGATGAAAGAGGAACCAGAACAAAGTTTTACAGCAAAACCTTTCAAAATAAAATGCACAAAAGACAAACAAAGACCTGTAAAAATCACGGTTTATTCACATATTATAGTTAGATTAATAATTCATTCCATTAGTAATGCATGTAAACATTATTACATTAATAAAGATCCCATGTATGTAGGAGTTAGAGCCATAGCTGATAGGTAGATGTTGTCCCTGGTTAAGCTTTTAAGGTACAACACGCTAATACAAACCAGGAGCGTCTAAGAAACAGAAACGTGCGCTTTAAGGTGCTTATTGTAAAAACTCTGCGTTTAAAATGAACTGAAGCTGTTAGTAGAATTTAATGAAGTAGCCGCTGTGTCTTTATGTCAGCATAGTGTCTCAAACAGATATTATCTCGAGGTAAAGACATGGCTGAGCTGTCCTGGCTGACTTTGACATCTAATACTTTTATTTCTGGTGTTTTATTGTGAAGCACTTTGAGATTTTTATCTGTGAAACGTTTGACATGAGTTAGTTTTACTTACTGATGTACTGTAATATCAGTTTTTGTGAAAGAATAGTGTGGTGAGTTAGCTGAACCTTTATTTAAAGGCAGCTTTTCAACAGTAAACCGTCCTTTACAATGGCGGCTTGGCAAAGGGAAAAAAACCAGGGTGGAGCCCCCTGGTGGTGAACATTTCAGTTAAATTTTGCAGCGTTTTTTGTTTGTTTTTGTAGTTCGTTCCCTCAATAGTTACCACTTTAATGTCTTTTGTTACCTTGATGTGTTTCTAAAAGTTGAGTGATGAGGAAACTGATAAATATTTGCAGCCTTTTATCGCTGGTAAACCTTTACTAAATATTTCTGATTATTTCCGGACAGACTGGATCTCCACAGCTGCATCTCCGCTTCTCCATTCCAGCCAGATGCTGATAAAGTCATCTGCACATCAGCATGGCGCTCAACAGACCTATGAGGACGGTGACAGGCACCAGGAGGAGGGCCACGTACAAGAACCACGGCTCTGGATACACGCCTGAAATCAAAACGCACAAAAGCCTTTGTGTGAAGTTTGATCCCAGTATCAATAACACACGAGTGCAGTGTTGGAGTCCTTTTTCCAGTAAGAGCAAATTTCTAGAAGCTTAAATGACAAACTCACCATGACGCACTGATGAACATGTAGTGGACTCATTTTTATCACCACCTCCAACTTCTGAAACCAATGAGAAAAAAAACATTCACGATTAAACAGGTTTCCTCTTCAAAGATACATATTGTACATGAAATCAGTTTAAACGCCTCGGAGTGAATGTCAACATAGGGAGAAAGAAAGACCTTTCATGGACTTTATGTCCAAAAAAATCTGTACTGTGTTGAAGAGACAGCGCCTGAAGTTGTTACAGAGCCAGGCTGTACTTTTGTGTAATATCAACATTGTACCACAAGATGGCGAAGTGAGTCAGTCAGGCTAGTCGTTTAGGTAAGCATGCTAAAACATACCTGTAGTTACTTCTTTCCTAGTCTTTAGACACTTTACTTAAATAACCACTGAAGAGGTTGAGCAAAGGGGTTCAAAAACTTGCTAAATTTACCATAAGGTAAAAGTTTCTGAAAAACATTTAGTAAATCTACAAAGATTTAATGGCCAGTTTATGAAAAGAAAACTTGTGACTATATGAGAAAAAATGTCAAATTTATAAGAAAAGCTACACCAAAATAAAATAAAAGCAGACGACCTGCTGTGCTGTCTGAAAAAGCACGACAATCACATCATTAAGGAATTATTAGCTCATGTTCATTCAACGAAGTCATCTTAACTACAACAATATAACATGATATATCACTAAATTCACAATTTAAATTAAAGTAAGAAATACCAAAAACTTTAATAAACTTTAGAAAGTATAAAGTCCAGATTTCAGACACACAGCTGCTGTGCCCCTAAAAGAACATTTTAGCTCATCTTTTAAAGAAGTGGAAGCGAACAGAGTCGTGCAAAGAAAATCTCACACAGAAATTCAGGATTTTTCTTATTTCCTGTTAAAAAAAATTCTGTAAAGCTTAATTTGTACTGTTCAAAATCTGCAGTGTCATTGATTCCTATCAGGAGGACGATGATTAATCTGATGATTGACTCAATCAGAGGTCACTAAAATCAATATTGAATCAGTGTGCAACTTTGCCAAAACAATGTGGGTTTTTTCACACCAGCCTATTAATCAACCAAAGACCCAGACAGACTTTTAATTCATTTGAAAGCCTGATGCTTA